GCTAGTTTTTTCCAAAAGAAATATAAGAAATGCTTAATGGTATATATGCTATGATTTAGTCATTGCCCTAACAGCGACATGACGGAACGACAGACGACAAGCCGTCTGTCTTTTGTCTGTGCGATGTCGTCCTGTTCATGGATACGGTTCTGTTGTACGCGTCGCCACTTACATAGCACACAGATGTACACACGTATCTAACTTTATTTGTATGCCTAGACTGTGTAATCAATATTGTGAGTTCTGGATGTCGTATCCAAAAACTAAATCTAGCCATAACTATTATCTTTTGTTGACTACACAAAGCTAGCAAATTCCTCCACGAAAACTTGCTACGTCAGTTGGTTCATTGCTGTTATTTACGTAAGGCAACATCGGCAGGACCTGTCTGAACGCCGACTCATACGCGTTCGCTGATTTTTCTGCTAACGCTTATCCGAGCCAGCCCTGATTTATACCTGTTCCACCTGAAAGCAGCTGTACCGAGTTCGTCGGCTTCAGACTAAACAAATGATGTAACAGCAGAAATTCCGGCTGGTCCTATTCGCTCTGTATTACAACATATCCCTTCAGACCCCCCACAGTGAACCAGGACGACATACTTTCGTGAATCGGCTGTCACGGTCAATACTTCTACAGATGGATCGCAGGGTTGCTTTGACACTTGTATTGAATACATGTCTCGACTACACAGTAATTACTGTGTAACCACACTATATTCATATTTAGATCATACGAATGAGAGGTTTTTTTGTTATTTAAGATGCTCTATTCATAGTTGTCTTTTTACAAGAACTTCTTAGAGCGATCCACAACAAGCATCCCGTACTTCTTTAGAGCATTACCACTGTACCTTAGCGTTACGTATTGTACGTAATTATTTGTACAAATATGAAGAGGTTTAATGCGGTTGCCTTTTATATAATATTGTAGAATCTATCTATATAGAATGTTGTGGAGGTTTGTTTCTCAAGAGCGCTCATATAGGAGCGCGAACCTATAAGGCGGGAAAAAATTATTGCAGGCATTATATCGAAACTGAACCTTTAAGGACTTTGCCAAAAGGTTAACTTTATCTCTAAAGACAGATGTATTATATTAGCTTCGAAAAATTGATTTCCGCGTTTTCTTCAAAAATGTCATATTTTCACTTGTTCTTTACTTTATTATAATGAGCTATTCGAAAGCACTTTTTTGTGCTACCAGCGCACTGTAACAATATTACATTGCGGGACGAAATTTTTTTCCGGAATTGAAGCACTTCCAAATCGGTCTGGGTCATCTGCTTTGCGTGCGATACGGACGGTATCGTTGCAAGGGCTATTCAAAAGCAACTTGCCAAGTTTGAGAACGGTACCCAGGACCTAAAAAGGTGCCCCGCCCTGACAAATGGTCTGAGTTTAACGACGACCATCTAGAGAACTGGCCGAAAGAATAAGCTGCATCCACACGGCCGTCGTTAACCACGTCAAAGTAATCACTTCGGTTCACATGGAAACTTGGAGTATGGATGGCTTATCAACGGTCTATATCCATCAAGGAATAAGGGCTTCATGCCGGTATCGAGCGTTACACGCTTAACATAATTATATATAATTAATAATAATAATAAAATAAACAGTAAAAAAAATGATTAATTTGTGCACAAAATTATCACCGGCGGTAAGAGGTGGTGTCTGCGTGTTCAAATCAACCAGCGATTGGAATGGCTGCCCTTAAGAAAGAAATCAAGACTCAGGGTCCAGCTAGGCCTTTATCCAAAAAAGGTTATTCCGTCCCATGACAACGCGCGGTCATGGGAGAATCGGCAAAGCTACCTTCCTGGATTTCGAATGAAAAGTTTCGCTATCTCCTTCATATTCTCCGTCTTTTTTGGTTCACTGGACAGTCATCTTTGTGGCCTTACCTGCGGCAAGGATCAGGAGCTTAAAACGTGTTGCGAAAACTTCATCGAAGCGAGCCTCGCTATCTCCTGGCGAAACGCCGTATATCACCAGTTCAAAAGATGCTAAAAAGCCGTAAACAATGACTGAGAATACATAACATAATACCTCATTGTCACGGCAATAAAAAATCTGGCATTTTATATTCAGTAAAAAAAACTTTCTTTCCAGCCTAGTATATTTAGAGGTTAATTCCAGCTAAAACGATGTATGCTTACTCCGTGTGGTTCCAACGCTAGAATACATAGGCTACCCTAAAGATTTACCTTTTTTTTGGTCTCGTTTCTTCTCGTAAATAATCTTCATTTGAACAATTTACTTTGACTGCAGATAAAGTGTGGTTGTACTAAACTTTATAGCAACAGTTAAAAAGCTATAAAATGGTGGGCTTGCAGTCGCAGAAGTGAGATAGGATAGTTTAGTCCGTAATTCGTAGAAGTCAATCCTTCTATGATCGTTGAGGGTGATTTTAGTTTTCCTACTGTCAGCTAGACCTAGGTAAATGATACCGGGTTGATCGCCACTAGAGAATATATAATTATATCGTTTTGCGTTACTAGCGGCTCGCTATTTGCACCTCGTGAAGTCGCAAACACAGGCTAAAAATGGTGTCATCTTAGAGCTTGTCTCTACTGCTACTGAAGACTCAGTTACTGACAAACTATCTTCGTGTACAAAGTCGCTTGCAAGTGGTAGTTCTTAAGCGACGTTCTACTTACTGGCAGCGTCTAAATTTTCAAAAAGCCAGTAACAAAGCGATCACTCTTTACTTTGAGCTAGTTTATCGATGAGCAATATAGCGCGTTTTTCAATATTATCACTTAATTAATCAAGCGCTTTGCACCTCTTTGCACAATTGTTCCTACATTCTTAGACGCCCGCGCTACAACTAGACTTCAATCAAATTACAAGTTAACCCCTGATCCTCTACTGGCTTGCAAGCTAGTTTATAGAGCTGGCAGGCGACATGAGCGTGAAACAAACAGATCTGATATTCGGAATTTCTTTTGTTATGCAAACAAATGACCAAATGTGCACATTGAATCATTTCTCTGACTCGTGGTGACAGCGTGGCTGTCGAGGACACCGATAAAGCCTCTATCCTCCTGATTATTAATTAAAAGCGTTTACGTGCAGCAAAACTTGGCGACTTTCAACGTACCTATGCACGTTAGTGCATGCCTGAATGTCATTGACTTTACTCTCTCGAAACTGTCTCTGCAGACTTCATGAAGTTTAGCATAAGTACAGCCTTACTTCAGACCAAATACCGCCGATCGTTAGTTTCGCGATATTCTTCTCTACTGTGTTCACTCGCAGCTTTGAGGATTAGTTTTATTCTCTTACTGTTCCGCGATTCCCTGTCACTTTTGTTCAGACAAAGAAATCACATTCATCGACAGATTTTCTGTTGCTTAAAGTTTCCCACCATGTCTCATGATAGAAAAAGCTAACCTTTGGTGTTATTTACTACTTCCGGTTGTCAAACAAGCTATTTGACCTCCAGCATCACGGCTTTCAAAAAGGGTGGTCTACCAGCATACAACTTATAGAGCACGCCATAACTAGACCTACGTACGGAACCTAGTCATGCCCCCGCATGCTGTGTTCTTCGATTTCTCGTCTGCGTTTAATTATTCAATAACAGTGAATGTTTACGTCATGGATCGGACCTTCGTGGTCAAAGTCGGGGACCCTGTACCTGTTCGAGTCATCAGTTTTTTGGACGGCTGCAGGGTTCACGTCTAGGCCCTATTCTTTATGCAATTTACGTACAAATTTTAAGCGTGCGTCTTCAACAACTAGGCACTGCATATGAAATGCACTCAGATAATCTCAAGGTATGTACGGACATTTAGAATGTCGAGGACACACAAAAAAAAAGAAAGTTGCTTGACTGCTTCTTGGGGTGAGATACAGCGAACAAACATATCAGTCCCGAAATCCGGTGTCCTAAAAACGGTTCCTGAAAATACGGCGTACTACTTAGGTCAGCACTCTAATTAAGCAGTAGCTACCGAGATTTAAAAGTAACGTTCGATGGACAAGTAAATTTCTGAAATCACATTGGGAACGTAGCCAAGACAGCCTCCCGCATCAGTGAATTGATTCCTAGAGTGTTTTCAGTGCAATACAAGTCTAAATATTTGAAATTATACGATTTTTTGCTTACTCGAAAATCGGCAAGCCTAGAGATGTTTATACAGTTAGAGGCAGTAATTTTGGAATTGGCTTTTTAGTCAGGCAACTGAGGTGACAACTACCTACCTTTTAGATAATTCTTCGGATTATCTTATAGCCTGCGGTACACACAGACATTGCCAGCTCTATAGGTTTATAAGAAATTGCCCTTTTTTTAATAAAAGGGTTTCATTTTATAAGAATGCGCTGTTCTAGCAAATCTAATATCTTTACTGTTCACTGCTAACGGAGCCTATCAAAAACCTGTTCACACTCTGACCGCCAGTGAAGCCAAAAATTAATGACTTGTAGTAGTCAACTTCTGACTTTATCGATGAGTATATGTATGGATATGGCAGTTAAGTAACCACAGGTCCAACAATATAACACCTCATGTCCTGTATGTGCACCTCTACCCATCGTCGTATGCCTTTTCTGTAGGCCGCAAGCGGCAGCAAAGTGGGTGCGATGGATTGGTATGATGCGATTCGATTGCTTTTGTGTTATTGACTGCGCCTAATACTAAGCACAGTGTTCAGCAAACAGAGAATTCGCTTTAGGTTTATAGAAATTACCACTTAATGCATTGCGGTCTATAGATGGTGCAAAATGGCCAAGTCTTTCCTACCTAGTACGATTGTATTGGTAGCTAGTGACAGGTAATGATGATGCAAGATGACGACGAAACGTGGTAAAGGGGTAACGGTGCATCGCCGCAATTTCCGCAAAGCTCCGCTTAGCGCTGTGTGGCACTTGCCTGTGCCAAGTGGCGCGTAAATTTCAAATCTTGCCGCGTCACCTCCAGAGGCCGCTCTGTTTTCGGTTGAGTGAACAACAGTTTAAGCGGGTGACTAGTCGGCTGGCTACATTCGAATATCCACCATCATCGAGATTTCCCCTAGCAGTCTTTTAGGCCACCATCTACCCCCTACCCCAATCAATCCTCTACCTGAACGGTGCGTAGTACTGCAAGGTACAGAATGTCTAGCTAATGAAATATCCAGGATGGCGGAAAAAAGCTGATACATAGCACGTACTTGAGACAGGCAAAGCTCTAAGATGGTAGGCCAACTGTGCAAATTGTCGCCAGTGGGTCCCAACACAAGGACCGCACTATTTCCTGTTAGCGTGCCTCTTAGTTGAACACGTCATATGCTGCAGATTGATTGCAACCGGTTCCCGTCTGCCCTGGCGTCTCCGTACAGCTGGAGTCGACTCGTGTCATTTGCATACGACGATCGGTATTTTACAGGAGCTGAGAGGTAGGCAACATTAGGAAACTTGTACTCGAACTCGCTCGATATTGCTTTGATATGGCAGAAGAGTGAAACGTCTCTAAACAAAGTTCAGCTGCTTGAGGGTGTCTTAGCAGTTTTCGTCTATTGGTAAACAATAATACAATCAGTCGGCTAATATAAAGAACTGGTCTTATGCATCTTTTGTCAATTGTTAAATGAAGGCAACGATTTTGACCGCACATTTGCCTACACTTTAAATTGAACGTGTAGATTTATATAACAGTTTGGAATGATTTTAAATTTACCCGGGCTATAGTTGCTTGTGGGCAACACCCGTCCTCGTGTCATCCGCGTGCATGCCGATCCTGAAGCAAAGCCATTTCAGCATCGACACAACAGGACCTATAATAAACATTTTGATTTGTTTTTGCTAGAATTTCCATTTTTATTTTTCTCTCACACATGAAGCGAGTTTACCTTTAGAAAACTTATTAGGTGCCATATTATATTCCAATGTCATGAATCTGAGATTGAAATCGCTGTCATGCTATTGTTAGATTGGTCAAGCTGTACCAATAGAAGGTTGGATTTGTTCATACTAGCAAACTAGTTCAATTCACTGTAAACTTGAACTCCACTTCATTTCTAGTTGAAGCGTGTTAAACACGTTCTTGCGTAGCCGCTGGCTCCGTTCAAGTTGAGAAGCCGTATGGCATTGGGGATGGGGTTCGGCAAACGAGAGAGAAAGAGTAAACTACGGTATGGACGGATGGATGGATGGATGGATAGATAGGGCGACCACACGCTCTGTCTCCATCACCGGCACCGCTGCCGCTACAACAGAGGCGGCTACCACCGTGGCGGTCGCTGAAGCTGGTATGAGTGCAGCGTACCGGCAACCACAAGCGGCAAAGAACAAAGACGGGCTGAATGAGCTCTAATTAAATTAGAAAGGATCGCTGCTGTTCCGTGCCACCACTCCCAGCAGCGTATCAGGTGTCTGTGCGACTTCCTCTTTCGTAGCAGCACTTCGCCCTCCGGGAGGGAACCCCTGTTTGCTCCACGTCCACCTGCCAAACTTCTCCCCTCTTCACCACAGTTTCTTGGCCCAGCTTACCCCCCCGAAGCTACATGCAAAAGAAAAATATCAATGTATTTTCAGTGTATTGGTACGCCCACATAGGAATAGGCAACAGCAAATAGCTACACCCTGTATCCTGCTGATCAGGTCATCGATACGCCTAATTAAAACATGAGTTGTTTCTAGAACTATACGCGCTGAAAATGTAGAACGTAAATTGACTCAACAACAAAAAACCGACTTTTTTCTGGCTGCATAGCCTGCAGTCCTCCGCTGTTTCTTTTTTTTTTTTCTATGGAAAGAGATGTGTGCCACAAGCCTAAAGGCCAGGGAGGGCCCGACTATCCCCAACACAACGTCGAAAGACATTGACCGCGATGAATCTATGCGAGCGCCTCTATGTATGTGTGCCCACGGCAGTCCATCTGTATTTGGTCCTGTGTATTAGGCGGAGGCATGTCTCAAGGGACGACTTGCTACGGTGATCAGAAGCTTTGTACAGAGATCTACCAAAGTTTCTATAAGAAAAGAGTGATCCTCCTGGTATGACCGGGTTCGTATAACAGCCTCAATAAGCACCTTAGTTTCACGCCAGTAAGGCCCATGCAGGATAGTTATAGAGAGAGAGGGGGGGGGAGAGGGCAGAAGCTCGTAAGCTTAGCCTTGATGACATGGCTAAGCTTGCATTGATGCTGCTTTCAGTGTTGATGATGCCTCTGATCAGGCGTACATTACCTCATAATGCTGCCGTATATATTAATAGCTATACATTGCAAACATAGGAATTATGTATATATTGGGTTGAGGGGATGATATACACCAATGAAGGATGTTCGAAGCACGCTGACTTGGTAGGTGTTAAATGAGATGTCCTACAGTAATCAAATGTTTCTTCAGAAGAAGTTCGATACTAATCCGTTGGTTGAGACCCACATAGTATTTATTGTGTATGCATTACTATTATCCAACAAAATCGACAATCATATAGACCTAACATGGTCTAGAAAGCTACGCAATTATTATCATTGTAAAACTGGACTAGACAAAAGTCAGAAGTGATACGCCTTATGTTTCTGCCGATGATAGTGAGCTGAGATGGCTTCGATAAACTCCAGTTTGCCACGTAATGGTAGACAAAATTAAGACTCCACGTGTCATCTACCTGTTAGAAGTGAGACGTTTGTCTCACATTAGACTGGCCTTTAAAGTTGAATTATATGACGAATGAAGATCTGTCAAGTGCTATCTCGACATATGAATCCTTGCTTCTACTTCATTGCCAAAGAGATTACCAATACTATCAATTTTACAACGGCTTTGATGGGCTAACGCTAACAATCAGGGTTGAATATTTATTACGTTCTTCGAATTAACATAATAGATACCGTGAATATATATAACATGTGCAAAATGACTTAAATTAAACTTGGGTTTTTTGCGTCCGAAGGTGGAACGTCCGCCTGAGACATCGAAATGAGAAATTGAAACAGATGTAGTAAAGTATGTGATCATCACCACATGTTACGTTAACTATCGGATATACGTTTAAATATTTAGCGCATCTTTTTTTTTTAAAGAAAAATTGTGACTACCATTGTTATTGTTTACCCTCGAGTATCACCTGAAAAACAATGTTGTTTCTCAAATATGTTTTTATAGAAATGCCTATCGACTGTGATAACAGGCGACGTTAAAGTAGACAAGTACCGCAGCGTTATATTCGGTTAATCGATACTACCAGTTAAATGCGATCTGAAGGTGACTATCGTGTCTGATACACATGTATGTATTTATATATTTAAGTAATTAAAAATCCTACTATATTGAAGGTGTGCACAAATGTTGATGTAAAAATAACATAAGATTATCTATGGTCTTTTTTTAAGCTTAGGGAGAGGATCATTGACTCTCGTGTATTGAGCCTACCCCTTATGCCTGCTTTTTACGGTGTACTTGGCGTATTTCGAAATTGAGAATGGTTCCGGTTGACACTTGATTTTACAAGCTTCACTTTAACTTTGGTTGTTTAGCCAATGATCTGCCCATAGTGCAGAGGAGTGACGTTATTTATTAAAATCTAGAACGGGCTTACACGGCACGAATTTGGGTTATTTTTATTTATTGATAGATCGAATAGTTTATGCCATTTACCTGAAAGTCCAACATAACCACAGATACATTTGTAGATATATAATAGTGATTAAATTTGTTTACGATTATGTCTATGATGAAAAAATCCGAGCTATACAACGCGTATTAAGCATGTCATATATCGCATCTCTGTTACCATAGAAGTTATCAGATTGGATCACAGTTTTCAAAACCAACTCCAGCTTCCTTTCGACCAAATCGAGGGGTATGTGATACCATACGTGCGCACGTTAGCAGTCGCTCTAAAGAAAGCCCGGTTTGTACTGTTTTATTATGCTGGAGCAAACTCAGCACAGGCTTTCTACTAACATCAATGTTTATTTAAATATAATTTCACCCTATACTTAACAAGTTCACTTCGTATCCTAACACCGGAAAGCTCCAATAAACTCCTATGTTCTCTCGTCCCATGTCTACAGTGCAAAACCTAATCTATTTTCATTTTGAAGAGTATCCACTTTATTAAGAAAGATAATCTATTCAGTATTTAGATAACTGAAAAAGCATGAGTCAACCGTTGCTGAGGGAGCTGAAGTGCGATTATGATATCACTTCATTTCGATCAGTAGGCCCTGCTTCAGTGATCACTTACAAAAGCAGATGGCGTAAATCGTATCGAACACACTGTCTGCTACATAGGCCGGATAAGTCGCAAAAGCCCTGTTTCCTTCGGATCAAGCTTTTCTTGCCGGGTAAAGGCAACCGCAATCTTGTTCATCACTCCGTTCTAACTTAATCCTTGTTATACATTTGACTAACCCTATAGTATATATGATCGTCGAATAGATACTAACACTTCCATGTTATACTGTCAGCCAAAACCGGTTAGACGGACCGCAATCTACGCGAAATAAACATTTGGTCGTTATCTGAATTTGAGCTCCACTGAACACTCAGATGTAGCCGACGTGTTCTGAAGGGCGTGTTCTAAATGGCTGACAATTCTCGTCCGCCACGATACACAAAGCGATGCTGCTGTGCCAGGAGCATTATGGAAGCTTTTCTTTTATGTCGTCGTATAATCTGTCGTAGAAATGATACGTCTCGCGTTTCTTTCGTGCGATACTCTTTTCTTTCCACCAAAAAGATTCGTTCCCTCAAATGAAGCCACTGCTGCTGACACAATGGCTGTCCGCTTTGTTACGAGCAATTGCGGCTATCATTGGGGAGGTATACAGAACATACAAAGGAAATGCTACCATTAGTCTCTCTGTGGTCGATACTCTTGTTGCAAGGCTTTGCCAGAATATCGACATGCGCGGTAATTTATACTACCGTATACATACACAGCCGTTGTTCAGATACGGCCAATGTTCTTGATCTCTGTAGGTTGTATTCAAACAAATATTTAATATTTGACATTGCGATATTTAACAATCGCTGAAAATTTGATGAAATGACGGGGGCAGAGTTTTGTATAGGGCAACAAATGGTGTTGTACGTACGGTTGTACGACGGCTGTCGTAGAATGTCGGCGTTTAATATAATATTTCAACGCTGTCGCGTTACAGCTACGCGAATAGGATCTTGTTAAGGGTCATAGAGAAATAGAAACCGGAGGTTGTAAAATATCGATTTAAAGGATACGCTTCCTGTAACACTTCTTGTAAGCAAATCCTTGTTAGTCCACCTGGTTCTGTGGCCATACTTTTACTATAATAATTACCAAGCTGACAGGGACAGCTTTTGTCGAGGCAAAGCAAGTAACTTCCCAAGCAGAAATGTATATGGAAGATGGATTCGTACATTCTATAGACAATGCGGTTATGAGAGAGTGGTTTTTAAGTGCCAG